AGAACATGAATCTGCTTGGAGTGCGCGATGCTGAGTTTTGGTACAGGTTTCTAATTGTCAATGGGGGAGATTTCATCCTCAGATTATGGCTCTTGAGCAACTCTGTGGTTCTGATTGTGCTGCAAGGTGTGTAGGCTGCCCGTGGTGGGATCGGATTCCTCAGGGTTCAGGCTCTAGCTCAAACACCCTGGTACGATGCTGGTGAGCACCTTAAACCCACACCTTGAATCCTCAATAACTATGAAGGTCACATCTGCACAAGGGACCAGGAGGAATATTTTCCTTTTTGTACCAGAGAAAGGAAAGCTTGGGGCAATGCTGTAAATCCAGCATGGTGGCTTCAGAAGCCAGTTTAATTCCTGAGGAGCCAATTTGTATACTTTTTCATTAAGCTCAAGCATAGCTGAAGTTTTCGTTGCAGACCTCAGAATTTCAAGCTCAGCATGAGTCATTCCTGAAATGCTGAAATATTTAACGTTTTTATTCTTTTTTTTTTTCCTTTCAGGAGATGGATTTATTGACATCGGATGAGCTGTATCATTTTGCATCTAAGGCAACCCTGATGTCTGGAGCTGGTAGCGATGATGCTCATTGTTTGGAATTAAGCTTTGCATTGACTGACCACATCTGCTCCGATCCATCCTTGCCAAATAAAGCACAATCTCCCTTCCCCATCAGGATTTCTCTCCAAAACCTATTGCCTTCCAGCCCCCTTGAGTGATGCTAATACATTTTAATAGCAATGTGGGAGGAGTGCCCTCACCTCTTCTCTTTGTACTTCAGTTTAATCAGCTAGGCCTGTAATCTAACAATCCCACTGCTGCAAGGTGGAAGAAGGGAGGTGACTTGGGAGAACTGGCTTGGGGAGCAATATAACCAGGCACAGCAGCTGGGCTGCAGGTCCCGGGTTGCAAAACGTCTGTGCAGGTGCAGGATGGACGAACCCTCAGCAAGGGAAAGGTGAGCACGGAGCAGTGCACTCTGTGTGCTTTGGCTTCCTATCCATGCTCTCCCTCTCTTCACATCTTTGCACAAAGGGAAGCTGGGTTGTGAGCCCTTGAAGGAAATCATAGGGTTTTTTTGCTCTTATTTCAATAAACCAATTATATAGAGCCACATGATTTCCTTTAAGGACATCTATTCCTCAGATAGGTGAAGGTTCATGCTGGAAAATATAGGAGCGCAAGAGCAGAGCTCCAGTCTTTATGTTTATGGAGCAAAACTGCTACAGCAGCCAAAGGTGCCCACCAATTTCCCGCTAGAAGATGCTCCCCCAGAGGCAGAGGTCTGGACAAGGTGTTTCTGCCTAAATCTTAGGACGAGGTGTTTCTGCCTAAATCTCATCCTCTCCATTCCCCAGAGAGTGATTTACCACCAGCCCTCTCCATTGACAGCAGAAGTTAACACAACAGCAGCGAGTGGTTATTTCAGGCAGAGGAGCAAGGAGACAGCTGGGCTGGTAACCTGTTAAGGCGAGCTTTGCCAGAGGCTGCCTGTCAAAGCAAAGCCACTCTCTCTTCCTGTCGAGCTCAACACTTCTGCGTGATGCTCTGCCCTCAGACTGCAACTCCGCTGCGCTCAAGACGGTGCAAATTCAGCAAACCTCGTTGTGTGCTGGGGGCTGGCAATTATTGGGGGTTAACGAATCTGATGTGTGTGCACTAAGAGCTTGCCCAGTGGTTGCTGTGTAGTTTTATTGCCTAAGAATGCTCCTGTAAACTGAAGTGCCACCAAAGCCTGTTCTGGTCGCTCTGCAAAAGCCTAGGGAAGTGCAGGGCCATGTGTCAGGTTCCCAGATATCAGCAGACCCAATCTCCAGCCCTGGTTATTCTTGGAATCAGAGAGCAGTTGTGCAAGCAGCTCTGATCCCTGCCACTGCTCTAATGAAAGCACCACTTGAGATGGACATAGTGTTGAGTCCTGCCTAGGTTTAATGTCACCTCCTTGCCCATCTGTATGAAACCAACTGCTTTTTGTGCCACTCACCTTTGCCAGTCCACATCAGCGCCCAGAGGCTGACGAGAGAGCCCAGAACCTGCTCTGCAAAGAGCCACTGCAGGGAGTTACACGGGTAATGAAAAAGCAGTTTGGTTTTGTTTTGATTTCCAGATTTTCATGAATAAATTCCTGCTCAGATCCAATCAGAATGTCGCCCATAAAATTCCCTTCCTATTACTCTGATCTGGTTTGTCTGAAGCTCTAAACTCTATCACAGCGCAAGGCAGTACATTACCCAGCTCCTCATCGTCCCAGCTCCCAGGTCTGGTTTAGGACTGTATGACTGTATATGACTGTATATTTACCGCAGCAAGCAGCTCTTCTTCCTTTGCGTGTCCGCTTGAACCTCAACATATCGGCATCTTTTCCAAAGCCGATATTGCTTTGGAAAAGCTCCCTGCCCCATTTTAGAGCAAATCTGTGCAGTTCACTCTTTCATGCCTGCAAGAAACCCCATCTAACCCAAAACTTGAGCAATGCACCGAGCTGGCTCGCGCAGCCGGAGCTATAGCCAGAGCTGTCAGCAACTGCTGGAGCAAGTCTGCTGATCCAAAGCACCAACAGCTTATGAAGATGATGGATTGACACTAATTGGAGAGGTTTCTGCAGGCATCCCCCTGTCAGCAAAGCCTCGGGGAGGAGAGGTCTCCATCGGGCGGCTCTGGTAACACGGAGAGCAGGGAGAGCTGTCGGCAGAGGGAGCTTCCCGATGCACATGCCCTGGGCTGGCTGCATCTCCGAGGGGGAAACAGGGCAGGGAGGGAATGCAGGCGTCCTCCACCACTTGGCCTTCCCTTCGCCTGGAGCCCCAGGTCACTGCAACGACACAAATGCCATCAAATCACTTCCATTCGATTTGCTCAACTCCAAGGGATCCTGCGGTATTCACCAAAAAAAAAAAAAAAAAAAAGAAAAAAAAAGGAGTTTCTTCATTGCATTCTGGAATTTTCTCTCTTTTGTTGATTGTGTGTGTGATTGTTCGGTTTACTCTGCTGTTTTAAAAGGTCTGTCAGGCAGCCCCAGAAGGAAAAGATTTCCTCGTAACCAGTCGTGTGCCATGCAGAAAGAATAGCAAATAGTTGTTCCAAGCAGCCTGCCGGCTCTCCGAGACAGGGAAGGTAACAGTTTGAGCTAGTCTCTCCGTCCCTGTGGATAGCATCCCTTGGGATTAGGGATGGCTTTTCAATGAAAGACTCCCCTCCAGTGGACTTTCGGTTTGGGAAAGCCCATGCTCCTGTCACAGCCGCTTCTGCTGGAGCGCTGCACCGGGGAGAGGGGGAAGAGATGGCAATGCAGTGATTGCATCTCTGAAGGAAGGCAGAAAGCTGCCAGAAATCTTCGTGTGTGGCCAAAGGCCTGGGTGCCCCAGGGCTGTGAGCGACAGCCTCTGCTATGGGAGCAGGCTAAGTGCAAGCAGCCTTGATTGCATTGTTTATAATTAAGCACCCAAGCCGACATGAATGTAAATAATAGGAAAGGGTCTAAATGAGGTGAAGAAAGCCCATTTTTTTTCAGGGCTGACCAAGCTGTTGCCTCCCTTTGCTTCTGTAACTAGATAACTAAGGAAGATACCCCAGGGCCCATGAATGCCGTATCCCGTGTTCTTGCTCCTGCTATAGTTGATGGTATTGTCATCTTTGCCTAAGTAAGAACAGGCTACTCGACTAGTATTTGTGGATTTGGTTTCATGATTTACTTCCCAAATGGAATGTCTACAGGACAAGAGCTGCAATCTAATCTCAAAGAGTCTTGTTATGCCCAGCACACGTGTCAGGAGATGGAGCATTTACATTACCTGCATGTACAAACCCTTTATGACCTCTAATGCTGCTCTGTGTAGTTCTGATGTTAGAGTTGGGTGTGTGATTTCTGCCATCTGCAAGTGTGAACACCAAGGAGACCAGGCAGGTCAAATTGCATGTGAACAGACATTGAGATCTCAGGTCAAAGCACCGCAGCTGAGAGAGCTGGGACTCACTATTGCTTAGATCTCTCTTGACTTTGCAGTATCTTTGAAACCAGGGGCTCTAACTCATGTATTTCAAAGCACTGTAGAAGTCTGAGCGATGCTGCTTGTATGCATACTGCAGAATGCAGGTGAAGCCACTTGCATCCTCTGACAGAGCACTGGAACAGGATGCCCAGAGACGCTGTGGACTCATCTCCTTTGGAGATATTCAAGCCCACTTGGATGCGACCCCGTGCAAAGTGCTCTAGGTGTCCCTGCTTGAGAAGGGGGATTGGACTAAATGATCTCTAGGGGTCCCTTCCAACCTCAAACGCTCTGTCATTCTGTGATTCCAAACAGCTTCAGACTTGGGAGCAGTGAGAATGTGTCCCCTGAGGAGTGCTGCAAAATCCACAGGTCCCCTGGTAGCATCACTAGCTGGGGACAGATGTGCCACAACAGGTCTGTGTGAGGCTAGGGGAAAAACATTGATATTTATGCATATCTGGGCTATTTTCCTAGCATAGCAATCCCTTGTGTACAGGAGTTGTCGCTTCTTTCAACTAGTGTAATCTATACATCCTGACTGCAGTGATTCCTGCTATGAACCAAACCAGTGCTCCCCACTAATAAAACACACTCCTTTCCTGGCAAATCCTGGGGCTGATTAACCTTAGTGATCTAAGAAAGTCTCTGACAGAAAGGAAGCAAAACCCATTACGTTTTCATTAGGGCTAGGAGTTGCACAGAGAAATGGTGTGAATGGTTCCAAGAGGGAATAGCAGCCTAGTTTTGATTGTGCCAAGCTTCTTTAACAAGAGCTCCATATAGACAGCAATGATGGGATCAGGTAAGCTGGCAGAAAGAAGGCATGCTCAGCAAAACAAAGCATCCCTATTTTCCCATACAATTTAAAGCCATTTGAAGTGTCTGCAGTGGAACCGTGAGCCAGAGCAGCTGTTTCTGGTTAATTAATTCAAGTCTCAGATGAGGTTTGTTTGAAGAATTGGGGTGGGAGGGGTGAGTCAAATCAGGTTTTCACCAGAGGTAGAGAACATTTGCAGAACTGTAGAATTTTGACCAAGCATTTCCCGCAAAGCACTGCCAGGTGTAGCGCAAGGATGCCTGCGTACCATCGAATCTCTGAGGTGACCTCAGAGCAATCACGGTGTTGACACTTGCATCTCTTTGAGGAACAAAACAAGCATCCTCGCAAAGGAAAACCAACTCAAGTCACTCAGCTGCAGCAATTGTCATAATGAGCCTGATGGATGTCAAAGAGGACTATGGCCCTGAAACACCTGTGTAGCATTGCTCTGGATTGCAGTTGCCACAGCGTTTTTTGGAGAATGCTCCACTTCTGGGAGTGAGTTACTCCTCTGGCACCCAGAACAAGAGTTCGACTGGCTTCCATAAGGTAAATACATATGTTACCAGCTCTCAATCTTGACTATATCTAGATAAATATACCTGCAGTGGTAGTGTGGGATGTAAGCCAGATACTGTATATTACACCTGGTAGTTCCTCCTTCCAATACAGGGGGCAACCTCTGCCTCAAAACCCTGCTTTTTCTCTCCCTTTCTGGCAGCCTATGTAAGTGAATATGAGATGGTTTGGGTTAAGTTTATTTGCTTTATTCTTTTCTTTGAACTTTACCGTAGCTTCTGGAAGCCTGAGATGGGTTCCTACATTGCACTGTTGCTCCCCTAAGCTTACAAGTGGGCTGCTCATTTGAGCATGTCTGTTGCTTGGTTTTTCCCCTCTCTTGAGGATGAAGCACGTAATAGCCCACATGTCTCTTCCTCTGGTAAGCAGAGCTTCTGATGCCTGGCCTAGGGTTAATCGTGGAGTTAACCAAGTCATGAAAAAGTTTTCTAGGGAAAATTGCGAAGACTTCTTGCTTGGTTGGGCCAAGCAATCTCCAGTTTTTAAATTCAGATCTCTCTCTTGCTTTTGCTACCTTCTCCTGTAGATCAGCACGCGATATGCTGCTGTTTCCTTGCAACTTCATAGCATAAAGTTTAATTTGCTCTGATCCTTTCAGAAGCTGGTTCAGTTTTGCCTTAGCCCTTGCTCTATTTTGTCAGCAAGAGCCTAAGTTGCATGTGCAAAAGGCAGTTTCTTTCTTCACTGTCTTATTTCCGTGGTGATCAGCTCCATGAAGGACTAGAGGGAACCTGCCTTTTTGTAGCTGGGAATGATTTGGGAGTTTACCTTTACCATGGCGGGGAAAGCTGTGACAGGATGGTGATAAGAGCTGGGAGGGATGGAGGAATGAACACCACGTGTATGTTCAGACCTTTGCATTTTGCGGCCTTGTTTCTTTGCATTATTTCTTTTAAACCTGCTGCTGCTCGTCAGCCTTTCTTTTAGAGCTGAACAGACCCATCTTGGTGTCCTTTCCTGACCTGTTGGTAAATGCAGGGTGCCACCGAGCAGCTGCCGTGTTGCGCCAGAAAGGGCTGCTTTCTTTAGGAATGGGCATGGTATCTGCATGCTCTAGGTTTCATGGCGCTCCCTAAGCTTCTAGGGGAAAAGCCCCTAGAGAAATGTAAAATATTAGTGGTATTTTAAGAAAGTGTGTGGGTGTATAGACACAATTAGTTTTCCTTTTTATAGACCTACATGGAATATCTTCATCTCTGAGGAAGATGCCTCTATCTACAGAGCGGTAGCATCCTATAGGAGGGCAGTGTTCTGTTCACATTACCAGAAAATGCCATCAAAATTAACAAAAAACACCAAAATTACAAGAATGCTGCTGTGGCCAGGCAGTGTCAGTCCAGTAAGTTATATAGGTCAGAAGCCTATAGGTGTAGGATTGCTCCATCCTTCCTGGGCTGAAACTTCTTTCTTGTTAATGTATATGGTAGTGATTGCCATAGATTTTTGTCGTGTCAGTCCCCTAAGATCAGAGAGGAGCTGATAGGCCTAGGAAAGACACCACGTAGGATTAAACAGCAGAGGGGATGCGCACGCACGGGCAGAGTGTCTGCTCTCGTGCTATGTGTTGCTATTGACACATTGCACTTCAATGGCTATAATGTCAATGGGCACTTGGGGACCTTTACTCGTGGATTATTAATGCATTAGACCGCAGCTTTTTACAGGTTATGGTGTCAAGAGCGGTGGGAGTGGATGCCGACGGTCTATGGATAGAATAAAGGCTCTGTTTAATCAGGGCTGTGTATGCCAGAGCCCTGCAAGTGCTGCACCCCAGACACCCTGTCTGCAGCCCTGGAATACCTGCTCCTCACAGGTGTGATCCCGCTGCAGGTCAGAGGACAGCATGCAAGAAAAGGAGACCAAAAAAAGCATCAAAAAGGCTGCTGAGAGAAGGGAGAAAATCTTGTGGCTGTAACTAGGCAGTCGTGCATTGCCATCACAGGCTGTGGGGAGTTCATTTCCTGGCACTAGCCGCTCAAACCCTGAAACATGAAGATTAATAGGTTCTTTATTTTATTGTTAGTAACTGCAGGTGCTGCCTTTATTTATATAAATGTGTGCTGCTGTGCGCGCTGCCCAGGATAAATTCTCTCATGGGTCTTCAGGGAGAGAAGCTCTCTCCTTAGGAGCGAACATTGCACCAAACACTGCGCCTTGGTGTGAGCGTGGGGATGTCCCCAAGTGCTCTGAATACGATGGAGGCTGCAGGTGACAGGTCTTGTTCAAGGGCTAGAGCCTGCCATTCATAAGGGCCTTCTTGGGGACATAAAAACTTGCAGGGGAGACTCACAGCTGGAGCACAAGCTCTTGTAGGCTGGCTCTCCAGCTGACCTGCTCTGCATAAACAGCATGCGTGTGTTTGCCAAAGCCTCTGTTGACAAGACACGACATAGTGGTTAAGCCCATAGACGAAGGCAATACAAGGTGTTTTCAACCAATCTGAACAAAGCCCTGACTTCTGCCCAGTCCTCGTTCTGGGGAAGAAGTGGAAGAAAAACAAACCAGGGGGCCGTGTGGCAGAAGCCAGAGGGACATGCAGCACCACACATGGGGAGAAGCGTCCTCAGCGAGGTTTTAGCAGCTCCCAGGTCAGGCAGACCCAAGCAGTGAGAACAGCAGCCCACTGAAGGGCCCTTAAGAAGTGACTGTGTTTTCAGTTGGCTCCTTCCTGGCAGCAAATGCATCTTTCTCAAAATCATTGCACCTCAGTTGCAATGGGACCTGGAGAAGTTATCCTCAGAACTAAGCTACCTAGGTAATAGAAACAGTAATTAGCCACTAATAGGAACAGTCACCAGGTGCTCCTCTGAGGTGCTGGTGCTAATTTCCAGGTTGCAATTGCAGGAGAGGCACAGAAGGTCTGAAGCCAGATAGATATTTGGCCCTGTTTAAAAAAGGGAGTGTGGGACGTGGCGTTGACCAAGGGGACGAGTTTCCTCACTGCAGACTTGTGTCATCCCAATGCCTCTCATTTCCCTGGGGTCTCGACTTCATTCCTGAAGGAGGCAAAGAAATCCCCTGATTTTCTTGACAATGCTGAACACAGACTTCTCATCATGTCCTATCTAGGCCAAGGAAAGGCCCCTGCTTTTTATTGTGTGACGACATGGAAATTACCAAGTAATTACAGGATTATGCAGCACCCTGTAAATTAGATGTTACCTCTTTACCTTTTATAGAACAAAAAATAACCATGTAATTACCTAGTGAATTAAGCTGTTAAGGTCTCATGGTAATTACACATGGAGTCAAAAGCTCCGAGTTCTTCTGGTAGATACAAGTTAAGAATTATCTTTCATTTTTAAACATATGTTGCAGTTGGATCCCAAAGACTGCACATTTCCATTTTAATAATGCTATGGCCTGCCCAAATGAAAGGAGGCATATGTCTCCCATCTGAGTGTGCAAATAGGATGAACATGTATATATAAAATAGATTGGACATATGCAAAACTGACCCGGGTTCATACTAGAAAAATTATATGGACTGAAGTGGAATAGAAATAGAGGTAAAACATGATTAGGCAGATGACTGTTTAAAACTGTGCTTAGTTTTCTAGCGCAGGAACTTGGTTTCACAGGAAGCAAGTCATTGTGGAGCTATTTTTAACATACATGTGTGTTGATAGCTGCAAATAGACATTAGAACTGGCCAGTGAGAAGGTCTGCTCTTCCTAAAGGAAGGTCCATGAACTTGCTGCATGTAGGAAGGTCTTGACAAGGAGCGAGGAGCCCTGAGCAGCAGGGAGGTGAGAAGCGAGGACTATAAAGCGAACATGTTGATGATATGAGATAGGAGAGGGGTCCTGGCCCCAGTGAAGGATTTTGCCTTTGAGTTGCATGTCTTTCTGCAGATCTTCTGGCCAGAGCTCTGGAGAGTGCTGGCACACAACAGGCTGGGTACACAACATTGCAGCAAAGAGCCACCAAAGGAGAGGAGCTGGTGGTGAGCAAGAGTTTGTGCCCGGTCCTGTCAAAGTTGCTCCAGGGAATGTGTTAAATGCTTAAAACGCGGCCCCAGAGGCTGCAGTCCTGCAGCAAGCGCTGAATGCCAAGAAGGCAGCAAGTCCAGCCAGCGAGCAAAGCGGTTGTGGCCACGCTGGGGCAAGGGGACTGGCCGGTGCGGTTCCTTGTGTGCAGTGACTTGAGCAAGCTGGGCTGGAAGGGAGGGGAAAGCTCCGTGGCACGCAGGAAGCAATTAAGCTGACTGTCAGTTTTGTAAAATACCCAGGCAGGTCTGTTTGGGATGAGGATCTGAAGCACATATGTTGCTACTGTTGCACTGCATATTCTAAAAGTTATCTTTTTATCCAGAAAATACGAGGAGAGGCTTCTCCCCTTCCTCCCCCACTTTAGCCCTAAAAGTGTGCTGGATTTTATTCTTGTTTCATTTAGGCTTCTATCTCCAGGTGTTAGGAACGTTTCAGGACGTTTCAATGAAATCCTAACAAACTTTACTGATGAGCTGGAAACCAGTTTCAATATCCTTTCAGCCTGAAAGCAGGCGTTTTGATAGGTGCCAGAGAAAGACTCTTCAGCTTCATAATTTTAAGTCCCTACATTTGAATAATGGGACCTTACAATACGCTTAACACAGTCTGGGAAGTGCAGTACATTCACCTCCAGCACTTCAAAGAGGTGTTACGTTCACTTACTAGCTAATTTTATAACTTGCTTTGAAATATGTAATGTATAAGTACTCGCTGGTAATCAGGGAAGAAAATACAGAGCCATGATAGGGAGTTAGGTGTTTCTTTTAATGAAGCTTAACACTGACATTTTAACTATTAACATTGTGTCTACAGTCTCTATTGCAGATCTAACTATTTCACCTACAAGTCATCACTAATCCAAACAGCAATTGCTCCGGGTACAAAGTGAATTGAAGTAATTATCTTCTAATCTCTTTATTTTGCAGTTTTTCTCATTTTGATTTTCATATTATCATCAACTCTCTCTATCACTTTGTTTCCTAGTGCTTAAATCCTGCAGTAATGCCGCATGCTGAAAGCAGTGACATGCATTTACTTCAAAGAGTCATTTACACCCCATGGCAAGCAGGTAGTCTCACTACAGAGACACAGGGATATTTTGGTGCAAATGAGCTTTTATCCATGTGCTCTTGGCGTGATTTTTCACCCCGTGTCCATCAGCTTTACCCTTTTAGAGTTGCTATCTGGCAATCGCTACAAAACACCCATTGGGGTTAGATCAGAAAATTAAAAAAAAAAAAAAAAAGAAGAAATAAAAAAGAAATCACACTCCATCTCATTCCTGGTCTCTTGCGTAACATCCCTTCATCCTGACACAGATTACTGCCAGCATTGTACTCGCCCAGTTCCTCTGCCTTAATAGCCTTACGTCTGGTTCAGAGGGAGATCAAAGCGAGAGCAGTACCAAAGGGCTTACATTCAATTAGCAGCGAAGGGGGCCGCCTTTCGACGTGCTCAGCAGAAGCTCTGATTGCCACAAACTGCTGACTGCATATCATGTCCTATCGCTATCAGCGTGTGCAACAGCAGCTCGTAGCCTGCTCTGCTGCAAAGTGGCCTGGAGGAGCAAATGACACTTCTATGCTCTTTTTTTTTTTGCTGCTTTGGGATGGAGAAAGCTGGAGTAATAAGTGCGCCTCCATAGAGCTGCTTGAAAAGGGCAGGGGGGTTCTGCCTCTCAATCTCTGTGGGGTTTGTTTGGTTTTATTCCTTCCTCAGGGCTCTGGACTGGAAATTCTCAGCCAGCTCTTGACCAAGGTGTTGGACAAGTTGAATTTTTAATGCTGAGTGATTTATTATTATTATTTTATTCTCCCCCCTCTCTCTCTTACTTGGGCTTGGAGGCTTAGCCGGTGGCAGTCTGAAGCCCAAGAGCAACAGTTGAGGCTTTTGACCCTTTCTGTGTATTCAGCGTATCACAGTAAAATAAGGTTCCTCTTATCTCTCAGAACAAGCTATCCTCTTCCTCCTTTCTCCAGGTACCCGTGACATTAGTGAAAATCAAAAGGCAGGATGTCTGACAGATAGCTTGTACCAGAGATTTAGGGGGAAAAAATGTAGAGGGGAGGTTTTCTCTGTTTTCTTATTTTTCTCTTTAAGAGATGTGAGATAGCATGGACGCCTATGGCTACTAGACCACCCTCTGCACAGAGTTGTCTACAGATAACCTCAAAGTGGAGCTATTTGAACCAACAGTGAGCTGGTTGCACTTGTGCAAAGCCTTGTCTCCTCGATTTACTTTTTCTGCTCCACAAGGTTCACATTAAGTTCCTGCCATGCACACACACAGAATCTGTTCCAGGGGACTCTATAGCTGCTCTTGCCAAGAACGTCTTCAACTACTTTAACCTTTTAAAATCTCTTGCATTACCATGGGAGATGACCACTCCACACGTTTCGCTCAGGTTAACAACACTCTAAAGAGCTCGGCTGGTCAGTGGAATCAGAAAACACCGAAAAGGTCAAAACATTCAGGAACTGCAGAGGCTTCCCTCTAAATTGGAGTAGCCTGTGACCTTCACTTAACCTTGACTTTAAATGATTGCAAATGAACTTGGGCAGCTTAACCTCGGTGCTAAAAACCTAAATGAATTGAAAGAAGAAACTACATCCAGCAGCTTTCCATCAATGTCAGGCGGTGTTCTGCAACACACCGTGTATCAGATAGACATAAATGTCTGTTAGCTGTGCTTAGTGGGTTAGCTATATTTAAAATAAAGTCCCATCAGCTTCCGCAGCGCTGAATGGTATATGTGTGTTTGTACCATAATGCAGTGATCCTTATGAACAAAGGCGTATCCAGCTGGGGCTCTTTTCTACAAGGTGCTTTTTTTTAATCTTTTGGCTTATGCAGGACTTACTGCTATAATATGTGGTGTTTGCATAGCAGTCAAAGCAAGGATTTCAGCACTGTAAATCCACCACCTGCTTTCCCTCGGTGTGCTGGGGTTCATGGCGAAGCTTTCTTGGACTTGAGGAGGACAACGTCCACTCTCCTGGGCTGTAGGAACCAAAAAAGTGCCCGTGATTAAATGAGAAAGACCAAAAGGATGAGAGCTCTGCAGCAAAGCACCCCGTGATACTCCCTGCATTACAGCAAGTGACTCTCCTGTGACTCCAGCACAGGCAGGAGCAGGGGATGTGGCTCCATGACCAGAGGTTTCACAGAGATCTGTGCTTGACCTAACTTTTGAGCCCTTACCTGTACCTAGGAGCTGTGGGGATTTGGTGGCATCTGCCTTGATGGTGGCAAGGGGATGGGCTCCCCTTCCAAAACTAGAAATATTACCAAGCCAACCTATTCCTTTTGTTCCCTGCATGGGTACCTACCTCACCCTTTCTATTTAACAACAAATCCAGAGACAGAACCATTTGTTGGGGTGCAAAAACAACAGTTTTTCCCCCGCTACTGTTGTAAATCCCTATCCCAATAATAACAGTTAAAGGGAAACATTCACAGAAAGACCCTGCAAAGGAAGTTCTTAACTCCCAATTAAATGTAGAACCCAATTCTTCACTAATTTCGTTGGCCCTGAGATAGGGAAAGGGGAGGGAAGGGGGAGATGTGTCTTGTCAGCAGCTCAGACCTCCTCAATGCCACGGTCAAAACGGCTGCTCCGTGTTTGATTTACTGGCCAAGAGGATACTCTCCTTGCTGAATTCCCATGGAGATGGCCTGATTTCCATAGCAACTGTATTCTCTCTCTGCTGCCTTTCCCTTTAACAGGTAGAAACAGACTTACATCCTAAAAATGTTAGATTGTTCAGAGCATTTGTATATTTTTGGACGCCAGTACACTTTTTCTGGACAATGTGTTGAAATGCAGGCACCTTAATTATATTTTTGCGTCCCCTTTTGGAACTGGCAGTGACACCACCTTTCATCTCTTGCTCTTAAGATTGGTTGTGATGGGAGCATGAAGTTTTCTTTTCTGCTTTCTTTCTATCCTTATGCTTTTGTCGTTGTCCCAATTTTCTATTAGCTAACCTGCAATGCAGGGTGGCTGTTGAAGAAAGCCCTTGGGGAAAGGGGAGCACTGATAGCACCAACTAACAGCAATACCCAAAATGCTTGTTATATGTGTCTATAGATAGAGTTTGATCTGATCTCTATTCCAAAGATGGATTAAAATCCATGCCGTAATGCAGTATGTTAAATAGCATGTTGACAATAAGAATATACATCATTTCTCATCAGTTTATTGTGTTTTAATGCCTTCCTGTTTTGAAGCTACGTTAACTTAAGGTGTCATCTTTTTAGCTGTGTCCGTACTCAGGTTTATTTCCACTGCTGCTTCCTTCTAAACTTAAATTTGAAGGAGGAAAAAGTACAAACAGAGTGTATGAGTAGATGGCTTGGCTGGGGAGATTTACAGCCATTGTGAGAGGGGTTTTAGGGAATTAAAAAGAGGACAGACCTTGCAAACCATCTCCCAAGAATCTATCGAGGTTATATCCAGGACAAAAAGTCATGGTAATGGGCACTGGCGTAGTGATAACATCCCATGTATGGTTTATTGGAGCTCCACGGGCATCATGAGCCATGTCTGAGAACTGGAGGGTCTTGAAGGACAGGCTTTGTACTTTGAATTGGATTTGTGGAGGGCCGGGGAGTTGCTGTGTTTCAGAAAGCACCTTGCTTGTGCACGGCTTGTCTGCCTAGAAGATGACTGGTATTTGGGCTGTGCATAGCAATGCGTGGTGCCACAGGAAGGAAAGCTGGAAGAGGTGAATGCGGATCCCTGTCAGGATGGCTAAAAACAGTATTCCTGATAAGTGGAGCCGTTAGGGGAACTGGGAAGAAAGACAAAACCCATAAGAGGCAGGGACTGCAAGGAGTGCTGTCAAAGGGGAGCTCCCCCTTCGCTGTGAACCACAAGGAGCCCAATAAAGAGGAATTTCACAGGCGGCTGTTTCATGCAGCAGCCCATGCCTGCCCCAAGCTGTCCAGTGCTCAGCTGCCACTAGCAGGCTTCAGTGCCACCTCTCTGAGCGAGCATTGCCCTCATCCCACTGAGCTGGCAATTAAATAGTCTGCGACAGCCATCCGAGATGCCACCGCGGTGCCCTGAGGTCCTGACAGCACTTTCCCAATTCACCGACCTCCGTCACGTCCTGAGCTGTAGGAGGTTACACCCGAAATGAGCCTGTAAAGGTGGCCGATTCTCCCAGTGACCCTCCAGTCTGACCTTACACCCGAGCTTACATTTTAAGACCTGGTGTGAGCCCGCAGATGAAATCCAGCCCTCGCTCCAGTTGTTACGGGGCAATTTGGCTGCCTTCACCTCCCCATTAATGCAACGCACGTCCCTTTGGTAGCACCACCCGGGCACCAGGAGGGCTTCACCGGCCCTTCATGCATGAACCACCCCTCTCTCCTTCCCTCTTCCCAGTTAATGCCTAAAGCCGTGGAGGGAAGCATGGCAAATTGAAATAAATGAGAGTGGAGGAGGAAAGGGGGAGGCGAGGAGCAAGCCCCTGTGGAGCTGTCACTCCGGCCGCCTCGGAGGCGGCAGGGGGAGAAGGGAAGGGTGGGAATCCGGCCAAAGACCTGGAGCAAGGTCTGATCCTCGGCGGTGGCAGGAACGTTACCGCCTGGGGCCTTCAGAGCACTCAGCGCTGACGAGAAATATTCAGATGATCAAATTAGGGTTGTCACAGGGGTGGGAAGGGCTCAGGCTTACGTGGGAGTAAGGGGGTAGCCAGACAGGGTAAAGGGGCTGGCACAAAGATAAACGTTCATTTGTCTCCGATGAACCAGTGCAAGGCGCAGGGCTGCTCCTCTCGCTCCACCACAGTCTCTGCTTGCCCTGGCTTACATTTCTGCTGGGGAAAGCACCGGGACAAAGCAGAGAAAGGAAGAGAGTGGCTTGGCTGGCCAGCTGCAGGGCTAAACGAGACCAGGATTTGTGGATGGGGGTCTCAGCTGTGTCGTGCAACAGCGGTGGCCCTGAGAAGGACAAGAAAGCCGTTGTGCAGCTGCAGCATCTCCCTCTGTGGCCAGAGCGGCGTCAAAGGCCCTGCAACATCTGCACCGAAACAGCCCTGAGCACCCCACACCAGAGGAACAACTAGGGAAAATTCGTTCTTTGGGGCGTTCCAGGGAGATGCCAGCAAAGAACCCGTAGAGGGCACTGATTTGTCAACAAATCTTAGAGGAAAATATGCATTTGGACAAGAAGGAGATACGAAAGGCCCGGGCATGCTTGAGCGTCTGCTGTAGGCGGGTTATTTCTGAGTTAATGATGGACTGCTGCTTTTTTTACTTTCCTGGTCTTTCTTGAAAACGCTAAGAGGTGGGAGAGGTGGCTTCCATTTCCCATTTGCTAAAGGAGCAGATGGCCCCACAGATGATTTCTCCTTGTTTCCCTCAGTTGGTAAAAGATATGTAGCCCAGCTCTGAGCATATCATTTCTCGGCAAAGATTTTTCTGAAATAGAGCAAGGAATTCCCTGTCTTGTGCTTTCGTGCTTCTTTATCATCCCTCTCTTGCTCCTAATTCCCCCGATAATGGCAAGGTGCGTAGCTGCAAATGCATTTGCTTGCTTAGAAGACATGAAAGGTGCTTGACCAACGCTGTCAACCAGCCTGGCCCAGAGGCCACCCTATATGAAGGCTGCAGACATCTCACATTCATGAGGATTTTGCTGGGACTCTCTGGACCTTGCTAGATGCTTTGCCTCAAAAGTTGGCATGTGGGATGTCGAAGATGCCTAATTCTGCCCCTTTAGGGAAGCCTAGTGTCATATCCCAGATTTTCCATCCGCATGGGATGCATGCATGCATGCACGCACAGTGGAGTAGAGGGAAAACCCTTTAATTCCTTCATCCCCCTGCTCCCAGCATCCCACTCCTCCTCACGTGAAGCTGGCTGGGAAGAGGCCCATTAGCAGCAGCTCTGCTCCAATGTCTCTTTAAAGGAAGTGTCAGGAATAAAGATTTACCTCCAGGTTTAGGAAGACAATTATTGCACGTTAATTAAATATGAAATGACACTTAAGAGCATATCTATTGCCTTAACAGCGACTCTCTGTAATAATAATAATACTTAGCACTTACACGGCCCTCTCCATCTATACGGTGCTTCACAAACATTACCTAATGAATCTGCACAGCCTCCCTGTGAAGCTGCTGGTGCGATGGGAAGAGGGGACATATCAGGGGAATAACCTCTTCTTGGCCTGCTGCTTTTCAGGCTGCTGTGGTTTTAATCCGCCCTCCTTTCTGTCAGCCTTGCCCAAATTGTGTTTCACAATTGTGTGCAAAACTGCAGGCTGCCAGCTCCCCAGAATGTGGTTTTGACCTGGCAGTAGAGCTTTCCTGACCACTGCACTTCTGCGAGAGTGAACTGTCTTCTGGTAGATGTGCCCATCCTGCCCTCTTTGGGCTCTCTCCATGCTAACCCATCCTTCAAGACCACCTCTTTGCCCAGGAAGGGATGACAGACTTATCTTTTCTATCATATTTACCTTTTTTCTCGTTGGA